CCTCCCCTATGGATATTTTTTTTCCGTACGCTGACAAACCAAAGCCGACGTCGGTATCCCGAAGCTTTGTCTACAGCTGTTGGCGTAGCTGTATCCATATGTGCCCAGGTATTCCCGCTGGGAGATGTTTCGCCGGCTTTGAAGCCGCCCCGGCAGCGGAGAGCGATATCCCGTTACACATTCTGCTCCAGAAATAGCTTGGGCTGAGCCACTGCGGCCACGCCGGCCAAAAAAATCCCGGATCTCTGTCTGCTGGGGGCATCTTTCCCGGGAATGCTGGTATCCCGCTGCTGCTGGCAGCTCGTCCTCCTCTTCCTCCTGGCAGAGTAGGTGGGGGAGAGGCACGCCGGCTGCCAAAACCTAAAATTCTCCTCCTGGCAGAGGAGGTGGGGGAGAGGCACGACGGCTGCCAAAACCTAAAATTCAGGCTGCCGTGGCAAAGCGTTGGGAGGTTGGGGTGGGGCTGAGGAGGTTTGAGGAGGTTGAGGTTGACGTTGGGTTGAGTTTGAGCTGAGGGGGTTGAGGTTGAGCTGAGGGGGTTGAGGTTGGGTTGAGATTGATGTTGAGTTGAGGTTGAGCTGAGGGCGTTGATGTTGGGTTGAGGTTGAGTTGAGGGCGTTGAGGTTGAGTTGAGGAGGTTGAGGTTGATGTTGGGTTGAGGTCGAGTTGAGGGCGTTGAGGTTGGGTTGAGGTCGAGTTGAGGGCGTTGAGGTTGAGTTGAGGAGGTTGAGGTTGATGTTGGGTTGAGGTCGAGTTGAGGGCGTTGAGGTTGAGTTGAGGAGGTTGAGGTTGATGTTGGGTTGAGGTCGAGTTGAGGGCGTTGAGGTTGGGTTGAGGTCGAGTTGAGGGCGTTGAGGTTGGGTTGAGGTCGAGTTGAGGGCGTTGAGGTTGAGTTGAGGAGGTTGAGGTTGATGTTGGGTTGAGGTCGAGTTGAGGGCGTTGAGGTTGGGTTGAGGTCGAGTTGAGGGCGTTGAGGTTGAGTTGAGGAGGTTGAGGTTGATGTTGGGTTGAGGTCGAGTTGAGGGCGTTGAGGTTGCGTTGAGGAGGTTGAGGTTGATGGTGGGTCCCCTTCTCCCCTGGTGCCCAGATGACCCGGACCCAGATGACGGATTTAATTACAAACAAATGATGGTGCGAGACGAGCGGCGCTTCAAGATGGCTGACAAGGACGGGGACCTGGCGGCCACCAAGGAGGAGTTCACCGCCTTCCTGCACCCCGAGGAGTACGACTACATGAAAGACATCGTCGTGCAGGTGCGCCCGGAGCGCGGAATACGCCCGGAATACGGCGCTTGTGGCGAAGAAACGGGCGGAGAGGGCTGGAAATCCGGGTGGGAGACCCTCCGGGGCCGCTCCGCCGCCAGCACCGGGAGCGGTCCCGTGGCGGGAGGGCCTGGGGGGGGGGGGGTGGGCGGGTGAGGTGGACATGGATCGGGGGTGGCCGTGGGTGGAGAGGACCGGCAAAACGTGGCGTTTTGGGGGGTTTTTTGATGTCCTCGTGCTTGCTGGGGCCGGATCCGTCCCGGCAAAAGGGCGGGAATTGCTCCGAGCCCGCTTCACCGCCGTCCCCTTGCAGGAGACCATGGAGGACATCGACAAGAAC